TGAAAAATGTCATTGGAATTTTGATCAGGATGGCGTTGAAGGTATAGACTGCTCTGGGTAGCATAGACATTTTAACAATGTTTATTCTTCCTATCCATGAGCATGGAAAGTGTTTCCATCTTTTTGTGTCTTCTTCAATTTCTTTCATGAGTGTTCTGTAGTTCCTAGAGTAGAGATCCTTTACCTCTTTGGTTAGGTTTAGTCCGAGGTATCTGATGGTTTTTGGTGCTATTGTAAATGGAATCATTTCTCTCTCTACAGTTGCATTGTTAGTGTATAAGAAAGCAACTGATTTCTGTGCATTTTGTATCCTGCCACATTACTGAGTTGCTGTATGAGTTCTAGTAATGTGGGGGTGGAGTCTTTTGGGTTTTCCACATAAATTATCATGTCATCTGTGAAAAGAGTTTGACCTCTTCTTTGCCAGTTTGAATACCTTTTATTTCTTTTTATTTTCTGATTGCTGTTGCTAGGACTTCTAGTACTATGTTGAACAATAGTGGCGAGAGTGGACATCCTTGATGTATTCCTGATCTTTTTTTTTTAAGATTTTATTTATTTGTCAGAGAGAGAGCACAAGCAGGGGTGCTGCAGGCAGAAGGAGAGGGAGAAGCAGGCTCCCAGCTGAGCAAGGAGCCCCATGTGGGACTCAGTTCCAGGACCCTGTGATCATGACCTGAGCTGAAGGCAGCGGCTTAACCGACTGAGCCACTCAGGCGTCCCGATGTATTCCTGATCTTAAGGGAAAGGCTCTCAGCTTTTCCCCATTGGGGATGATATTCGCTGTGGATTTTTCATAGATGGATTTTATGAACTTGAGGAATGTTCCCTCTATCCCTATACTCTGAAGAGTTTTAATCAGGAAAGGATGCTGTATTTTGTCAAATGCTTTTTCTGCATCAATTGAGAGGACCATATGGCTCTTCTCTCTCCTCTTATTAATGTGTTCTATCACATTGATTGATTTGAGAATGTTGAACCACCCTTGCATCCCGGGGATAAATCCCACTTGGTCGTGGTGGATGATCTTTTAATGTATTGTTGGATCTTATTATCTAGGATTTTGTTGAGGATTTTGGAATCCATATTCATCAGGGATATCGGTACTGGCACAAAAACAGACATATAAGACCAATGGAACAGAATAGAGAGCCCAGATATGGACCCTCAACTCTATGGTCAAATAATCTTTGACAAAGCAGGAAAAAATATGCAATGGAAAAAAGACAGTTTCTTCAATAAATAAAAAAGACAGTTTCTTCAATAAAAGAAAATTGGACAGCTATATACAGAAAAATGAAACTCGACCATTCTCTAACACCATACACAAAGATAAACTCAAAATGGATGAAAGACCTCAATGTGAGACAGGAGTCCATCAAAATCCCAGAGGAAAACATAGGCAATAACCTCTTTGACATCGGCCACAGCAACTTCTTTCAAGATACATCTCCAAAAGCTAGTGAAACAAAAGTGAAAATGAACTTTTGGGACTTCGTCAAGATAAAATCTTCTGCGCAGCAAAGGAAACAGTCAACGAAACAAAGAGGCAACCCACAGAATGGGAGAAGATATTTACAAATGACACTACAGATAAAGGGCTAATATCCAAGATTTATAAAGAACTTCTCAAACTCAACACCCAAAAAACAAATAATCCAGTCAAAAAATGGGCAGGAGACATAAACAGACACTTCTCTGAAGAAGACATACAAATGGCTAACAGACACATGAAAAAATGTTCATCATTAGCCATCAGGGAAATTCAAATCAAAACCACATTGATATACTACCTTACACCAGTTAGAATGGCAAAAATTGACAGGGCAAGAAACAACAAATGTTGGAGAGGCTGGGGAGAAAGGGGAACCCTCTTACACTGTTGGTGGGAATGCAAGTTGGTACAGCCACTTTGGAAAACAGTGTGGAGGTGCCTCAAAAAGTTAAAAATAGAGCTACCCTGCGACCCAGCAATTGCACTCCTGGGTATTTACCCCAAAGACACAGATGTAGTGAAAAGAAGGGCCATATGCACCCCAATGTTCATAGCAGCAATGTCTGCAACAGCCAAACTGTGGAAAGAGCCGAGATGCCCTTCAACAGATGAATGGATAAAGAAGATGTGGTATATATACAATGGAATATTACTCAGCCGTCAGAAAGGATGGATACCCATCATTTGCATCAACATGGATGGGACTGGAGGAGATGATGCTAAGTGAAATAAGTCAAGCAGGGAAAGTCAATTATCATATGGTTTCACTTATTTGCGGAACAAAAGGAATAGCAAGGAGGACATTAGGAGAAGGAAGGGAAAAACAAAGGGGGGCGGGAATCAGAGGGAGAGATGAACCATGAGAGACTATGGACTCTGAGAAGCAAAAAGGGTTTTAGAGGGGAAGGTGGAGGGGGGATGGGTTAGCCCGGTGATGGGTATTAAGGAGAGCACATACTGCATGGAGCACTGGGTGTTCTACGAAAACAATGAATCGTGGATCACCACATCAAAAACTAATGATGTATGGTGATTAACATAATAAAATAAAATAAAATAAAAAAACCCTTTTGGAGAGCAGAGAAACCCATGCAGGTAATATGCTCATTACTTCCTGTAGAAAAAGATGATTTTTCAAAAGAAAAAAAATGTATTGCTGCTTCCAGATCCTTGAGTTCCAAATGCTGTCCTAATACTTCAATCATGAACAGCACAGTTTAGACCCGAAAGAGTTCAGTCTGCCCTGTGACGGACCGTCCCTTCCCATGAGGTTGGAGGGGAGGTCCCCTGCATGTTCCCACACTTCTTGACGTCCTGCGGACCACTCTCTAGAGCAAGGCTCTAGTTCAGCCTGCTGCGTGTCCAAGAAACTTCTCCTTTAACTTGTTCTATCGTATTAATGGACTAAGCCCATTAAAAAAATTTGGGAGTCACACTTCATTTTTTAAGAGAGTTCCTTAAACGCAAGGTGAGGGACACCTGGGTGGCTCAGTTGGTTGAGTGACCAACTCTTGGTTTCGGCTCAGGTCGTGATCCAGGAGTGGTGAGATTGAGCCCCACGCCAGGCTCTGTGCTCAGTGTGGAGTCTGCTTCAGATTCTTTCCCTCCTGCTCCCACACACTCTCTCTCTCTCTCTCTCAAATAAACAAATAAAATTGTTAAAAAAAAAATGAGGTGATTTCCCTTTTCCATCCCCCACTGTATTATCTTCTTTTGGAAATGTCCCCCGGACACTTTTTCAGACAAGGAACAAATTTCTTCCTTTTTTTTAAAGATTTTATTTTTAGTAATCCTTACACCCAACATGGGGCTTGAACCCACAACTCCAAGATCAAGAGTCTCATGTTCCACTAAGAGAGCCAGCCCAACACCCCCGAGATTTCTTCCTTCTGAACAGTTTGATATACTAGTCTACTGGTAAATAAATAACACTTGAAAAGTTTTCAAAGTGCATTCATGTATACATTTTTAATTAAATTCTTCCAAAATCCTCAAAGGCCAGTCAGATATTTTCCAGAGACAATGTTAGCATGACAGATTCAGAGACATCTGGAAGCCAGGGGTGGAGGTGGGCTGGTGCCCCCAACTCAGTGACTAATCCGTGTCTAACACATGGCCCTCAGCATCTCCGAGGGAGGTGCTTAGAGGTCATGCCCCACACCATTTTCCGGAATCAACTGGGCCATTCCAGACTCAGAATGGCCCACAGAATAGGCCAACAATTCCCAAGGAAGAAAGTATCCAGGGGGCCACCGGATCACTCTATCCATCTTGCCTCATCCCAGCAATCAGCGCTCCAGTCCTGTACAATCCTCAGGATTTTGTTCTTCACAACTGGGCCCTCCAGCCTCGTCATCATATTTGGGGCATAATTCTGTTTCGTCTCCCTGTGAAAGGTAAGATTCAGGCTTTGTTCCCTCACATTTGGTTTTCTTCTGCGGTCCTAGAGAGGTACGCACAACCTCGAGGACAGAAATCCACCACGCCAGAGACCACTCTGGTCCCACACAGCAGACCGAGAACAACGGTGCTGCGCTTGGGAGTCAGGGATGGAGTCCAAGGGCCTCGGTTCAACCACTTACTGAGTGCGGTCAGCAGCCTCCGCCAGTTCAGTGATCCTGCCCCCTGTTACTCACACTCTGGTGGAGTCTCCTCCCTCACTGGGCTATGGTTGGTCTGTGTGACCAAAAGAGTAAGGCAGAAGTGGTGGACGCCACTTTCAACAGGAAGCAATCAAAGACCGTGGTCTTTTTTTGGGTGCTCTCTCTCTTACTTGTTATGGAGGAAGCCAGCTGCACTGTCATGAGCAGCCCTATAGGGAGCATCGAGGACTCTGGCCAAGAGCCACATGGGTCAGTGTGGAAACATCTAGTCTCCATCCAACTCCAGTCAGGGGCTTACCTGAGGCCTCGGGGAAGACCATGAGTTAGAACCACCCAGTCAAACTGCTTCCGTATTTCTGACCCTTAGAAATTTTACAAGGAAATTCATGTGTGTTGCCTTAAGTGACTAAACTTTGAGGTAAATTTGTTACAGGGCAACAGACAAGGAATACTCCAGGTGTTGTTACAACCTCCACCCAGAATCCACCGCTCACTGAGAACGTCATGGTCTCGGGCACTGTGCTTCCTAGACACACTTCCTTTCCATCCTCACAACACCTCCATGGAGAAGCGGCCATCCCACTTCACAGATGGGGAAACAGAAAGGTAAAGGAACTTGTTCACAGTCATATGGCTGTTAAGTGCTGATCGATCAGTTAAGACCAGGGTGGAAGGTTAAGGATAGAAAGAATTTAAAATCAGACAGGAAAATCCTGGTCAGTTTTCCCGTCGGGCACAAGCAGGAGCTGGGGTCTGATCAGCCACATAAAGGTGAGTATAAATCCCCAGGAAACGAGGGAGGGACATTAGCAACATCTGCACTAGATTTTGGGTCCAGAGTCTCCCTCTTTATGAGGAGCTTTGCTTGGGTGCTGTTTCTGCACAGGGAACCCAGCAGAGACTTACAGAACAACCTTCTCTTTCCACTTGCGCTGCTGGAAGGCCTCCCGCAGGAGCACTATACCCCTGTGCCCAATGTCGTTCTTGCTCACGTCCAGGTATCTCAGGCTCTGGTTGTGGAGGAGCATGGAAGCCATAGTCTGGCAGCAGACAGAGGTGAATAGGCACTTTTCCAGCCTGTGGGATGGAAGTAGACAGTAGACAACTTGCCACGCCCCACATCTGAGAGCTCAGCCCATACTAACCCAGTGAGTCCTAACTCCAAGAAGTTATGAGCCACATAACCTCTTTCTGAAATTGCCACCATGCGTCAGCTTTGCTCATCCAAAAAAATATTTATTTAGCATCTCCTGTGTACCAGGCACTGCCCTGGGCACTGTTGATATAACAGTGAGGAAAACAGCATCCCTGGCTTCCTGGAGCTCATAACTGATTGGGGTGGGGGAGGACGCATGTCACCAAACATATTCGAAGAGCACCGTTGGTTTCGCTATTCTAGTGTGCAAGGGGTTCTGGTTCCTCTATGAATAGGTCCCTCTGCTTTCCCAGGCTGTGTGAAAAAAGCAGGAGAGATGGTCCCGAAAGGAGCTGCGTCACATAAGTACCGCATATCGTAAATTCAGAGCAGGCAAAGAAGAGGAAGTGGTGTGTAGGTGAGCGAAAGGTACAGAAAGGGGGTGGTTAGGGGTCCCATTTTTGAACAGAGTACAATCTCCCTGGGAGCAAGGCTATTATAAACAATGCAGAACAGACAGGACAGAGGGGCCCTGGGGGTCCCTGTGTCTCCTACATGTGCATCCTTTGCTTTCTTTCCGGTGGCTTGCCTCCCCCACCCTGTGAACCTCCGCTAGCTGATAAATGACAAGCTGGAAACTGCTGCCCAAGCCAAAACTACAAGGGCATGCATTCAGCTTTGCGTTAGTTTATAAAGGTCCCGACCCAGTTTCCGTCAGGGAGGCACTTGCTAAACGGTGCACCAGCTAAAACATCCCTTAACCTTGATCAGAGTCAAGTAAATCATTTCCTTTCAACAGTAGAAGGAGGAGGGGCGCCTGGGGGCTCAGTTGGTTCAGTTTTTGCCTTCGGCTCAGGTCATGATCCCAGGGTCCTGGAATCGAGTCCCGCATCGGGCTCCCTGCTCAGCAGGGAGCCTGCTTCTCCCTCTGCCTCTGCCTCTCTGTCTCTCATGAATAAGTCAGTAAAACCTTTAAAAAAAAAAAAGTAGAAGGAGGAGAGTCATTCTAAAATAATTCTAACTACAAATAAGACCCACAGGTATGTGAGGATTTTTTTTTTTTAAATGAAGAGAATAAGCAATAGAAACCTGGGTTCTTCTTGGGAAAAATAAAGATATAGATGGCTTTTCTACAAGACTAGAATTCCACAGAATGAAATCTAGGGGAATTTTAGATCAAAAAGTTTGGAATGGGGGCAGTCCATGAATTTTATACTCAGCCAAGTTACTGCTCATCCGTGGAAGTAGATTATAAAAAGTAGTCTCACACAAGCAAAGGCCTAGAGAACACTACGTAAATACTCACCTGGAAATTTGTTTCATTCTTGAAAATATATTTCACTCAGTCTAAGAAATAATTCAATGCTTAAAACCTAAGATTAAATTTCTGGAGAAAAAGAATCGTGAGCTGGGACGCCTGGCTGGCTTAGCTAGTAGAGCATGTGAGTCTTGATCTCAGGGTTGTGAGTTTGAGCCTCACGTCGAGTGTACAGATTACTTAAAATAAAAATTCTTTTTTTTAAATATATTTTTTTAGAGCGAGATAGAGAGCGCACACATGAGGAGGGGCAGAAGGAGAGGGAGCGAGAACCTCAAGCAGGCACCACACCGAATGCAGAGCCTAACATGAGGCTCTCACGACCCTGAGATCATGACGTAAGCCAAAATCAAGAGTCAGGTACTTAACTGACTGAGCCACCCAGGTGCCCCAAAATAAAAATTAAAAAAAAAAAACAGAGTTATAGTGAACACTGAATTTCCTTAGACTAGCTAATTATCAACAAAAATGAAATCCATTATCAGTACTAATCCTAAGAAATTAGAGATGTAACATAAAACAACGATTTTAATAATCTAGTCTTCAAATCCAGACTATACTAATAGAGAACAGAAAATGTGGGCAGAAAAGAGGCAAAACAGTTTCATCCATGGATCACCAGAGAAGAGATGTTTCCAAATATTTCCCAAACACTTAACATAACCATGATACGAATTAAAAATAGGATGGCTCTTGTCAAATCGCTGGCTAGTATGAATGTTAGCATAGAGACCATTTAGGAGAAGAAGACAAGAAATTATATGTAAAAAAGAATCCCTAAGTACAAACGTCGATTTCAGAAGACCAGCTATGTCAGGCATTGGTCCACAGACAACAAAGAAACTTTTACTGAATGGAAGACTATTTCCTAGAACCATGGTCCTGCAAGTGCACCATGCATGGGAGCCACCTGGGCGTGAAGGTTGAGGGGTCTGCGGGCTCACCCCCAGAGTACCACATGACCCAGCAGCCCCACCTCTGTGTCCGCATCCAAGGAAGTGGAACCAGGATATCCAAGAGACACCGGCACCCTCATTCCCTGCAGCATTACCCACAGTAGCTACCACACAGAAACCGCCTCCATCCCCACCAACAGATGAATGGATACAGAAAATGTGGTATATTTACACACGATGGAATATTATCCAGCCATAAGAAAGAAGGAAATCCTGCCATTTGTGACATCATGGATGCACCTGGAGGGCTTTATGCTGAATGAAATAAGCCAGAGAAAGGGAAACCCTGCGATGATTTGCATTCCTAACAACTCCCCAGAGGAAGAAGTTCCCAGTCTGAGGATCCCCTTTCCGAACCCTACACTGAGGTTGCCCAGTCCTCCAACTAAATGGAGGAAAAACCCCGGAAATGCAAAAACCCTTTCCCGTGTTCTGCTCAGAGAATTTTACAGACCATTGTTGCAAAAGAGGAGACGGGGTGACTTACTCCAGAATCTGGAGGCCAGACTTGGGTTTCGTGAGGGCCTCAAAGAGCAGGTTAACTCCATCGTCCTTCAGGCTGTTAAAACCAAGGTCCAGGCTTCTCAAATTTTTGTTTTTATCCAGAGCAGAGGCCAAGTCTTGACAGCAGTCAGAGGTCAGGGCACAGTTTCTCAGCCTGCGAAGAAACAGGTGTCAAGAAAACCAACCAAAACACCTCTAGATTTTACTCCTTTCCTGCCTTTTTTTTTTTTTTTGCATAACAACATTATCAAGATATTCCTAACATAACCAATATCATTTACCCACTTAGAGTGTACAAGTCAACATCTTTTAGTATATTTACAGAGGTGCGCATTTGCCACAATTTTAGGACATTTTCATCACCCCAAAAAGGAAAACCCTGTACCCTTTTAATTCCCAATTTCTTCCCCCAGCCCACCCCCAACTCGAGCAACCTCTATCTGGTTCTGGATATTAATCCAAAGGAATTGGAATCAGGATCTCGAAAAGATCTTGAAAAAATATGATGTCTTTCATGTACCATAATATTTTCAAGATTCATCCATATTGTAGTATGTATCAACACATTGTTCCTTTCTATAGTTGAATAATATTCCATCATATGGATACACCACACATTCTTCATTCATGCATCAGCTTATCAACCCTTGGGTTGTTTCCACTTTTTGGCTATTATAAATAATGCCGCTATGAACATCTGTGACATTTCAGTGTGAATGTATGTTTTTATTTCTGTTGCGTATGTACCTAGCAGTGGAATTGCTGACTCCTATGTTAGGTCTACATATAACCCTTTGAGGAGCAGCTAGACCGTTTTCCAAAGCACCTGCACCACTTCCTGCTTGACTTTGGGAAGCTAAAAGTTAGTGGGTTCAGGGGATATTTTGTGCCCCTTTTTTTCATTTCTGGTTTTATAAGCCCTAGCAAATTTCTTTATGGTGTAAGACCGTCTAAGTTTATTTTCTGTTAATAATAGACAAAAGCACCCTACATTGGTGTTCTGAGTCCCATTTCAACATGTATGGGGAGGTCCCCCACACTAAGAAACAGGAAAGCCCAGATGGTAATAGTGTCTGAGAAATCCACCGAATTCTGACACTATGTACAGATCATCAGATTGTGCAGGCTAAGGGCTCAGTCCTACAAGACTGCTTCCCTCATCTCACTCCCCTCATACACCAGCCCCAAGGCCAAGCTGGGCTTCTATAAACTGGAGGTTCCAACTCCAAGCCAGGATGCCAGTCACCAGTCAGGTTCCCATGACCCCCTCCTTAGATTTGGTTCATTTGCTGAAGCAGCTCACAGAACTCAGGAAACCCATTTACTCATTTGATTACCATTTTACTATAAAAGGATAGAACTCAGGAATAGCAGATGGGAGAGATGCATAGGGGGAGGCATGGGGAAAGGATGCACAGAGCTTCCATGTCCTCTCCAGGTGAGCTGCTTTCCCTGCATCTCCATGTGTTCACCCACCTGGAAGCTCTCAAATCCCATTCTTTGGGGCTTATATGGTAGCTTCGTTACACAGGCATGATTAATTAAATTGTTGGCTATGGGTGGCTGGTTCCACCTCCAGCCCCTCTCCCCTCCCCAGAGGTCAGGGGGAAGGACTTAAAGTTCTTTTTTTAAAGATTTCATTTATTTATTTGACACAGAGAGACACAGCAGGAGAGGGAACACAAGCAGGGGAAGTGGGAGAGGGAGAAGCAAAGAAGCTGGCTTCCCGCGGAGCAGGGAGCCTGACGCGGGGCTCGATCCCAGGACCCTGGGACCATGACCTGAGCTGAAGGCAGACGCTTAACGACTGAGCCACCCAGGCGGCCCAGGACTTAAAGTTCTAACCCTCTAATCACAAGGCTGGTTCTTGGGGCAACAAACCCCCATCCTTGGGTGAGTTCCGAAAGTCACTCATTAACATAATAATAGACACCTTTATAGTTCTCACCACTTAGGTATTTCCAAGGGTTTGGGGAACTCTGTAACAGAAACAGGGACAAAGACCAAATACACATTTCTTAGGTTATAAATCACAATATCACACATTCCGACGCCCAAGGGAAATCATTTAAAGAATTTATGACTGAGATCATGTGCACACACACACACACACAGAGTAGGTCAATCACTCTATTCTACTCCAGGGAGGCTCAAGAAGAGGGTATTTTGGGACTCACACCAGCCTCTGTAGAGGACACGCAGGGTGCTGTAGGGCACTGCAAAGCTGTTTGGCTCCTTCGTCCTTCAAGGCATTTTCTGCCAAGCTCAGATGGGTCAGCATCCCATTACTCTTGAGGGAAGACGTAAGACTTTTACAGGTAAGCAGGGTGAGGTCACAGTTCTCCAATCTGAGGGACAGAAACACACAGATGGGATGTACTTTAATCCATGTGCATGACCGGATTTTCCTAGCCCCTACTGAGAGATGAACATTGCCATCTGGGTTTTCCTTTTCAGTGTGAAAGCCTCATCACACCTCTGTTACCACCTCTTAGGGCTTCCAAGTCCTGAAGAAGAGGGTACCAGCCTTCCTGTGAGGTTAGGGGTGTGGAGGAGATGTGGGTCAGGAAAATAGTTATAGGGATTAGAAGGGCGGGAACGAGACCACCAACGGCTAAAGAATATGTAACGGATACTGGGGTGGCCCAGAAGAGACAGCCTTTCACAAGCTTAAAATAAATGAATGCTTACTCAAAAAAAAATATATATATATATATTTAAACATATATATATATATATATATATATATATATGCTTTAAAAAGATTCATTAAAGACAGGAGCAGGCATTCGTGGTAGAGAAACCAAGATGAATAGTAAGGTCATGAAAACATTTTCATAGTAATGAAGGAAATAGAGGTTAAAACAATGAGATACGATCTCCTGCTTGTCAGACTGGCAAAATCAGGAGGGAGAATACAGAATATAACAATGGCCAGACAGGGACTCGGAGTTACGGGAAGCGGCATCCACCTGCTGGCAGGACTGAAAACTGGGGCAGACTCTGGACACAAGCTGCTGAAACGGAAGATGGATGCTCTCCATGACCCAGAGATCCCACTGCTGGAGTGTTTTTCACAGCGTGTGCGTGCGTGTACCACATGTGTGTGTGTATGCATGTAAACAGCCAAACCTCAGCGGCAGGTAGGACGGATACCTACATTATTGCATATTCACATAATTGTTATCATTCAGCAGTGACGAGGAATGGGCTTCTGAAGCAACTAAGCACAAAAATGTCGGTTGATCAGAAAAAGAACATATAGTAGCTGAGGCCACTTATGTGAAATTCAAAGCAATGCGGAACTGCGTGGTGCTCTGTTTAAGAATACACATGTGAGGGGCACCTGGGTGACTCAATCGGTGGGACGTCTGCCTTTGGCTCAGGTCATGATCCCAGGATCCTGGGATCGAGTCCTGCCTTGGGCTCCCTACTCAGAGGGGAGCCCGTTTCTCCTTCTCCCTCTGTGTTCTCCCTCTCTCTTTCTCACAGATAAATAAAATCTTAAAAAAAAAAAGAATACACGCGTGAGGGGCCTGATCAGCCCAATTCAAGGCAGCTATCGTGAGGGGTAGGGCAGGGATCAGTGTAACCCGTGAGGAAGGAAAACAGTACTGGTGAGGTTCTAGGTCATAAGCTGGATGACAGATACAGCAGGCTCATTGTCACTATATTTTCCAAGGTATTAGGTATAAATGTGTACTTTTACATAGACTTTCTCTCTCTCCCACCTGGATTCTTCACGGACCCATCGATACAATTAACACCAGCCATGAGACAAGTTGGCACACATTCCTCCATTACTGCTCTTCTCCCAGAATCACACAATTCACCAAACAAATGAGCAACAGTCATGACAACAACAACAAGACTTACACCAGCTTCTCCAGTTGGGCCACTGACAGGCAATATGCCCCAAATGTCTCCAGGCAGCTACTTCTTAGCATTAGTGTCTTCAAGTGTTTGTTACTTCCAAGATCCCTGGCAAGATCAACCCAACACTTAGGGGTAACCGAGCAGTCTTCCAACCTATGGAGGCCACACAAAAATGCCAAGCCTGAGCTCCTGGGGAAAATGGTACCCATGTAGCCATGTAGATCCTGTCTACTGTCCCACATTCTTGTTCTTCACACAAGAGTGACTCCAGGGGCGATTTTCATCTTCTCCAGCTGGTAAGCTTGCACCAAATTCAGCATCTTAGTCACAAAATATCAAATAATAGACACTTGGGGCCATAACCAGCTAGCACTGGCTTGGAGCTGGGCTCTATCCATGAACCAGGGACTCAATTCAGCCCTTGAAATAAATGCAACTTCTTTTTACATTTATCTGCCAAACAATCTTCAAGACAAAGAACTGCGGTTTCAGTCACATGGGATCACAGCTGCCGTCTTGTCAAGCTGGGTTTCCATCGGAAGTTGACTGTTGCCCAACTACCATGCTGAACCACCTCCAGGTCTGGCCACCTGAGCCTCGGAGGCTCCACTCAGCTCTGGCCGGTGTGAAGGACCAGAGCTTCCGGGTGGAAACAAGAGGTTGCCCAAGCTTCGTTGGCACAACGTAACACACAGAAAGACTGGTGGGGATGCTAAGCACTTGGGTGCTGGGATGTGTTTAACTACTGATTTTGGTGAAAAAAGCCCTGATGTGCAGTGTTGGCCAATATCTAGTGTGAATGCTCCCAGGGTGGCTGATTTACCCATGTGGAGTTGTTAAATGCACAGCAGGAGCACCCCACTGCACAAACGCAACAACCTCAAGAACACACACTGGGAGTTGGCAAACTATGGCCGTGGGCCAAGTCTCCCGGCCACCTGGTTTTGTACAGCCTGTGAACTAAGAACTTAAAAAAATTTTTAAATGGTTAAAAAAAAAAAATCAAAAGAATATTTTGTGACACGTGAAAATTAAATGCAATTCAAATCCCTGTACCCATAATAAATATCAGCAAATTATATAGTGGATAGAGTTATTAACAAATTGTATAATTCTTAACAAATGATTAATAATTGGTATTAATAAATGGTATTATTAGCACTCAATAACTTAATAGTAATACAGTTTTATTGGAAGACAGCCACACCTGTTCATTTACATATTGGCCACTCAAACTTTAGCCCTATAAAGGCCGAGTTAAAAAGTCAAGACAAAGACCATATGGCCCACAGAGCTGAAAATACTTATCTGGCCCTTCATAGAAAAAGTTTGCTGCACCCTGGCATTGATAATAGTATAGTAAGGAAATTAGGAGGTGTTGGGTTTTGATAATCTATGAAATTTTGTTTTCTCATATGGTTTATTTAATTGTAAGTCTGTATGATTTAACTTTTCAATAATGCTGTTTGACAATCAGCTCACGAAACTGCCTTCTTAGCAATCCCCTCTTGTGAGCCAGTATGAGGTAGGTGAAGCTCACCAGTGGGGCTCTAGTCTCCCTATCTCAGACCCATCTAGGACATGGTCTAATTGTAGAGCCTGAAAAGGTGAGTGAATGGTGGTTGCCAAGGCAGGGGTGTGGAAGAAATGGAAGAGAATGTTCTTCTGGTTGTAAGATGCATGAGTTCTGGAGATCTAAGGTACAGCTTGGTAGCTGTGGTTGTCAATACCGTCACATGTACCTGAAATTTGCCAAGAGAGTGGATCTTAAATGCTCCTCCCCACAAATGGTAACTGTGTGAGGTGGTAGGTATGTTAATTAGCTTGATGGTGTTGATTATTTCTCAGTGTGTATGTATATCAAATTATCACATTGCCCACCTTAAAAAAAAAAAAAAGCCGAATAAAACCAACAACGATGAGATCAAAAGAAAGATGACAGGAAGACCGCGCATGTAATCCCACCTCTGAAAGAACAGTCTGGGCGCCAGGGTCTCTCTAGATCCCAGGCTCATCTTACCTCAGACACTGCAGATAGCACCGTGGGCTTTTCAAGGCTGTGCACAGAAACTCCATGGCCTCACATCTCACTTCTGTGACTTGTATTTCCAAGTATCTCAGATACCGGTTTTCAATCAAAACTTGGATTAAGTCTTCGTTCAACATGGAGGGATGTAGACATCTAAGGCTGGAGAGGTAAGCAGTGCCTAGTTATAATAAGATCTCATCAGCTCATTAGTTCTTTTCTCAAAAACAGCTTTACTGAGGTATAAACAATATCAGTAAATGCATCTATCATATTTTAATGGTTACAACTTGATGAGTTTGGACATATGCATATACCCATGAAACCATTACCACGATCAAGGTGGCTAATTAGTCCTCCAGCTTTATTGAGATGTGATCGACACATAACAATAAGTTTAAGGTGTAGGACATGTTGATTTGTTACATTAATATATTGCAAGATGATTACTGCCTTGGCATTGGGTAACACCTTCATCCCATCACAAAATTATCATTTCTTTTTCTCTTTTGTGATGAGAACACTGAAGATGGACTCCCAGCAACTTTGGAGTATACCATACAGTATTGTTGACTACTGTCACAATGCTGAGCATCAGATCCCCAGAACTTATGACCAACATCTGCCCATTTGCTAATCACTTCTAGATTTAATTCGTCGATAAATATGTGAGGGCCTTTCTGTGAGGTCTGAACTGAGTTCTCAGCTCAGCGTGGCCTCCCTGGTTGGGTGACCTTATGTAGATCACTTACCTTCCAAACTTCAGTTTCGGGTCCACAGGAGAGAGTGCATGATGCCTTCTCCTTAAGATGGGTGTGGGAATTAATATACACGACACCTG